TTGTCGGGGTCTCCTCCAAATGAGCGGATGTTCCTGTGCACCCAAGCGATGGCGGCCTGCTGGTCCCACAGACCGTAATTTCCTGACAAGATGGAAAATGTCATTATAGATGGCAGGGGTCAAAATCTAATTGATTCTGTGGCTGCTGTGAGAGAACAAACGGCCATCTACCGGGCAAGCTCGAGTCTCCAGTGCTCAGGAAGCCCAGAGTTCCCACACGGTATCCCAAAGTCACCACAATAACATTTCCTCTGTCTGCCATCTCCTGGCCGCTGTACAGATAGGTGGTTATTATTTTAGAACCCATCGAGCTTCCGGTCAGGAAGCCTCCTCCATAGATCCACACCATGACGGGCAGATCTGTGGAGACTACAGACCAAATAGAATCAGAGACAGCTGCAATGTTGATCTATCATGAACAATACTTTGTGGTTCTCTCTGTGCTTACCTGTGCTGCCATGGGGAACCCAGATGTTTAAGTAAAGACAGTCCTCACTCCCTCTGGTATGGGTCATATAGAATTTTAACTGAAGGCATTTCTTTCTGAACTCAGTGGCCTTTAAGATACCTGATAAAAGACATACACACGTTTAAGTTTTATAATTATATAGTTCAGGCGCTGACTGAGGCTCATTTATGTTAACAGATAAAACAATGACACTAATTTACCATAATACAACAAAATGAACAGATTTGCCTGAATAAGCAACAATAAAACCTTTTCAATTGGTTGGTTTTGTGATTTGTGAGAGAGTCAATCACCCACCGTCCCAGCCAGGGTGACGCTTTGGCTTCTCAAACCTTCCAGGGATGTCAGCAAAAGGAACCCCTCTGAAGACGTCCATGTGACGACGTAACCCAAGACGAATGTTCTCGCCCTGCACCATCCCCCCCTCCGTGTTCACTACCCCAAGCTAGAGATTCAGCACAAAAAAGTTGTGAAATATCAAAATCACAGAATGACATTTGGCATCCTTGAATTAAACAGATGTTATATTTTTTTGTCAAGCACTTACAGAGGCCCCAGAGACCACCTCCAGGAACACAGCAAAAGCGACCAAAAGCCCCAGCCTCGCCATCGTGACTGTGATCACCAGGTTGGTTTTCAGGCTGGACTTTTATAAAGGTGACTCCTCCCCTGAACATCTGACCACGGTGCAGTGTGACGGATACTTTTTTCACTGTTACATAACATAATATTTAACCACCTTTTCCTAACAGCACCTGAGATACAACAGATTCTAACTTCGTTGCCTTAATAAAATATAAAATTAAAACCATTTTGAAAGGTAACTGATACAACCTTTGAGAAGTGATTTTCCAACTTTTGCAGTTTTGCATCAGGAATCCAACCTGGACTATAAATGTCTTTGCTACAATAAAGAACAACTTTAGTAAATTAAGATGGGCATCTATCTTATATACTGGATATAAAACATATAATCATACAGGACCTTTCAAAACCCATTTAAAGCCGTATAGCATGGGGTCTATATCACATCTGCTGCTGTCAGACTTTACAATCAGCACTGCTTCCAGTAGCATACATCTGCATACAATTTTTATAAATACCCATATTTATTATTTATTATCACTAGTAAATACACTGCCACACTGTCTTTCTGTAAATGTATTGCACACTGAATATGTTCATATGTATATAGGAGTATATTCTTTCTATTCTATTTTCTTACCTTTAAACGATCTTGTTTATTTTTCACAAGCGTTATTGTTTTTAAAACACTACTGTCCTGTTGCTGCTGTGGCAAAGAAATGTCCCCGTTTGTGGGACAATAAAGGTATTCTGATTCTGATTCTGATTCTGATCTGTCCAGGCAGTAGCATTATGCTGCTCGGACTGCTTGCGTAAGTGCAACACTGTTTGTATACGATGAACTGGAAGAACTGCTGAACTGTTTGATCAAATGTGTAGTGTTTGTACACATAGGACAGAGAAATCGATGTCAACTCTTTCACCATGCAGCAGTTGAAGGACCGTTATCACAGACATGACAGAGGACAGCTGTATGTTCCAAACCTTCTTGTCATAAGAGATATTTGTCAGATTCTTGAGCTTGTCGTGGCTTTGAAGGTCCAGTGTGTTTTAGGTGAGAGGGAACTTTTGGTAACATGATGTTTTCACGAGTTCGTTTCATCTAAATTGTATGAATTGTAGTTTCCTTTACCCCAGAAAAGGCCCTTCATATTTAAATACTTTAGATTTAATTACTTTATATTTACTTCGAGGGGACCCTCTCTACGGAGGCCGCCATGTTTTTACATTAGTCCAGACTGGACAAACTAAACACCTTTTGAGTTCATATGACAACTGAAGCTACCACAGGTTCTTCCTCATGTTTGGAAGGAGAGGGTGAGGTGAGGGGTGTTCAGCTGCAACATGACACTTCAACACTAGATGTCACTAAATTCTACACACTGTACCTTTCAGAGCTCTGTCCCTGTTTGGTCAAACAATAACACTGAAACCTTGTTTGTGGTCAAAACCAGCAGCTGTGACTGGAGACACTCTGTGTTTTCACTGTTCTTCAAGTAAGTCTCAGACCTTCTGCTTCACGTGAACGAGCTCTGATCTCACTGCGCATGTCTCTCTGAGCGAGTAAGTGGGGGAGGGGGGAGGGACGGAGCTCAGGGGCCTGTGTGTGTGTGTGTGTGTGTGTGTGTGTGTGTG